GGGGGGCCGGGGGGGTGGAAACAGGAGCCTGCAGAAGCCACGGGACTCATTCATTAGCAAGATCCATAAAACACTGAACCCGCCTTCTGTTCTGTTAATTGTACTGCCTGGGCTCTTCCTCAAACAGTTCAGAATGTCATGTTGAGTCTTGTCTTAAAATCCACACACATGCTTCTTGTGTGTTGAACTCTGGATTGACACATGCCTTTCAGACCCTGGTATTCATATGGGCTACTCTGCTGAGGTGCCTTCCACAAACACTGGAAGTAGAGTTCCCTTCCTGCAAACTTGCCTCCAAGGGTGCAGAGGAAAAGACCCACCTGTGTTGGTAGGGAAGGAAGCCCTGTTCCATCTGTGACCCCACAGTTGGGCTGCAAACACTAAGAGCCAGTGCACCTCCTAAGGCATGTGCCACAGGGAAGTTGCTGGGGAACTATACCCATGTTCCATGGTACTGGATTACAATTAGCAAGTGAAGAACATATTTCAGTGAAAAAAAGTGTAATGGTATAGGGACTCTTATCATCTTTATTTCAAGGGAAAGTAGCTGGACAGTCTGGATCTGATACCCCTTGGGAGAGAGAAAGGGGGAAATCATTTCCAGACGAAGACTTTGATTGTAATAGGGAGAACATCACAAGGGGCTAAACAGTAGCCAATCCCTTTAGGGCCTATTAAGGAAGGGCCTCAGACTGCATAGGGATCACATCTGTTTTCTTCCAGTTGAAATGAGAATCAGGACTCTGTAAGTGCTGAGTTCTTTCTAACCACAGACTTCCATGAGGGCCTCCAGGTACCTGTAAGCCTACAACAAGGTTTGCAACCTGGTTGTCTTTGAGGACTGGAGTGCTGTATTGAGGAAAGAAAGTCAAAGCTGAGCCCAGTTGTACTGGACACGATGTGGTGTCACGTTAGCCAGGTCAACACAGATCCAATGGCTGTAGTAAGGCCATAGTAACAACATACAACCACTGTTCTGCCTTCCCCACTTTAGTCCCAACTGTCAACAAACATCATACTCCAGAGTTATGGGGGAAAGGAGACTTTACAAAAAGTTCTAGAACCTTTCATGTACATTTGACTTTCAGACAACAAAACAGGAATGTACTTTCCTATTCAATATTTCAGGGGCACATGTATACATACAAAATATGCATATATGCATAGCACACACATGCAACATCAGAGGTAGACGTTTTGGAATAGTAAGTGGGATGCATCTGATATTTTCTAGTCTTTTTTTTAACCTACTAAATTGATTTTGCAACTCACTTTTGCACCAAGAGCTACAATTTGAAAAAACATCACCATAGGAACATTGTGTGCAAATATGACCCAATTTCTACACACAGGAAATAAGGCTAAGGGAGATGGTCACCCAGTGGTTGGAGTCAGAGAAAGAGACAGCTGGATGAAAGGCAAGTCATATGGTCTCCTCATACAGGAAACAGGAGCAAAGACACCTACCTTTTAACACTGGAAGGGTGATAAAGGATGGTTAACTACTCAATCTCCTGGCATGGCATATCAGCATAATCAATGACAGTTTAAAACCATACTACAGGAATGTTTAG